TCTGTTGTGTACCACGACCACTACCAAAACCTCTGCCTGAGCTACCAGTCCTCCTCGGACAGTCTCTCACCCTGTAGCCCTGCTGCCCACATCTAAAGCAAGCTCTAGTAGAAAAGGACTATGGACAATCAGACACATAATGACCAGGCTGCTGACATCCGAAACATATAACCTCACTCCTACCTGCTCTGGATGGTACGGAAGTAAAAGGAGTAGGTCGGCCTGACTGCTGTCCTCCAGACCTAGATGAACTCCCTTTTTGCCTCTTACTAGACTGACCCTCAACCCCTGAATCACTAGCTCATCTTTGCTTCCACTGTTCCCAAGTCTGATTTTTATCATTCAGCTTAGCTTCAATAATTAATGCCCTTTCTACAGCCTCAGGATAAGTCTATAGGCACTGTGTTGCCACAAAAGTCGTAATCCGATGATGAAGTCCCTCTACAAACTTATGGACTTTATCTGATTCCTTACGTACAATCTTTGGAGCAGAACGAGAAAGAGAAGTGAATTTATTCTCGTAATCTGTCACTGTCATAGAGCTGTTCTGAAATAGAGAGATAAACTCCTTGTGCAGCTCCCATCTTTTAGTCGCAGGAAAGAACTTATTATAATATAACTCTTTGTAAGCATCCCAAGATAATGTCTTCACATCCATTCTATTAGACACTAACTTCCACCATAATTTGGCATCCCTAGTAAAGTTGTAGGTAGCCAACAAAATCTTCACAGAATCATTTTCAACTGCCAGAGCATCAATATGCTTTTCTACCTGGTCAAACCAATCATCTGCTAACAACGGGTCAGTCCCACCCTCAAACAGTGTAGGCATGAGTCTGACAAATGTAGAAATAAGTTTGAGACGTCTTTTTGTCTCATCTTCCCCTGCAGACATCACTGGCGGTGGCAAACCTCCCCGTCCCACAGGGTGAGATGTAGAACTTTCCTTAGAACGTCCAACTGCAGGCCCAATCTCTTGGCCTCTTGGTGCCTTGTCCTTCCTATGAGGCGGCATACTATAATGAAATGCAAGTCAATAACAATGTCACTATCCACAGTCCCAAACTGACTCATATGAATAAAAGCCATTAAACACATAGCATGCTTACAAGACAAATACCAGATAAACATGTAAGCACATAGGACAATGCAAACCCCTACACACATAGCTGTAGACAGACCTCTACCCGTCGTCCCTAGGTTATACGAACCATGCTCTAATACCACAACTGTCACGCCCCTAGACCGTAGTCCGAATTGTGAACACAACACACAAACAATCAAAGTCCCAAAATTGGAAAAATATCCCTGTAACCTGTCTCAACCACACATCAGCCTATTTAATTCCCTTTACAAAAACAAGACTGAAAATTAATAGATAAGATGTCAATATTACAACATTAAAGTTTTAAAGTTTTAAAGTACATTGTTTAAGCTTTCATTAGGCTTTGGAATCACTCAATTTGACTTATAATTGAATTTGTTATGATTTTGATGGAAGCTACAGGCTGGAAATCAGTTTCTGGGCAGGATTTATTTCGAACTTTTAGGTCAAAACTGTTCTAATTGGGAAGGGATTTTGTTAAAATAAGTTGACACTCTCAAATTACATTGTTTAAGCTTTCATTAGGCTTTGGAATCACTCAATTTGACTTAGAATTGAATTTGTTATGAATTTTCAAAGATGGAAGTAACATGCTGCATGTGAACTGTTTACTGTTTAGAAACTTCGAAACATGACTCAATTATGCATTCATCTTGCATCATCATGGGGTTCAGATTAGAATGGAAGAAGGAAGTGAAAGTTCAGTAAATGATTTTAAAAACCGGATAACAGGGAGGTGCCTTGTATCCGTGAGTTTAGAAAGTGGGATTGATTTAATGATTTCAAAACCGGACAAGGAGTTGCTTTGTCTGTCCAGTTAATGGGAATCTAGAGAAGACGTAGGAGTTGCCTACGCGTAATTGTGTCACTAGGCCCCAAATGATTACAAGGAGTTGCCTTGGATCAAGGATAGATGATCAATTCTCTTCTCGTGGTACAGGGAGCATCTCTGGCCGGATTACATTAACTTTTTGTGATGGAAATTGGATTTTGGGAAGTGAGAAGTGTCAGTGGCATTAGCATCAGCATCCGCATTGCATGGAACTTCATTTTACTATCCTACATGACATTATTTCTTTCATGAGTTTATATGATCCCATTATCCTTTATCTATTCTTTGTTTGGATTCACGGAGGTATTAAGGAGTGTGCTTTAGGCAATTCCTGCTGAGCTGTGGTTGTTCATTCCTATTTTATTCACACCTTTTCAGGTCATAGAATGGATGGTGTGGAGGGTGTTCCTCCTCAGCTGTAGACAGAGTCGGGGCTGGTGTTGTTGTGTTATATTCTGCATAATAGTTTATGTTTTGTCTTATATTTCTTTAGAATATTTCTGGCATGTAATAAATGTTATTTTGCACTTTAAAACTTTAATGTTGTAATATTAGCATCTTAACTATTAATTTTCAGTCTTGTTTTCGTAAAGGGAATTAAATAGGCTGATGTGTGGTTGAGACAGGTTACAGGGATATTTTTCTGATTTTGGGACTGTGATTGTTTGTGTGTTGTGTTCACAATCCGGACTACGGTCTAGGGGCGTGACAACAGGTAGTTGACAGAGACAATTAGAAAAGATAGAGCTTGAGGATAAAGGTGAAAGGAAAACAAAATGTGGGAAGCTTGGGTTTTTAAAGCAAAAATGGTTCAACATCCAAGGAATTACGGTAATAATGGGGCGATGGATCTCAAAGCGTGGGTCTCTGAGCCAACCATTCGCTTCCCCACGTCACCGCCTCAAGCCGTCATGTCATGATTGTGTCTTTTCAATAATCTCACCCTAATTAATTAGGGAGAGATTATGGTGCCAGATGAGGATACTAAAAATGGCCAGGGCCAGGCGCGACCCAAATTGCTAGGAATGGGTCAGGCAAAAGCAACCGATCTGAACCAAGTCTTCGTTGATCAGGCCAGGCCCGGAAGATCATTTTGAAAGCCCAATTTAAAATAAATAAATAAATAAATAAATAATAAAAAATAAAAAATTGGACCCATAACTAAAATAAGCCCAGAATGTCAGCCCGACGAAAGGAGTTAGTTAGGAAGCTTCTAGAACATTTGTAACAGTCTATAAATAAATTGAAAATAGAGGGAATAGGGGTTGAAAAAATATTTAAAGTGTAGAATTGTTCTTTCCAAATTGAGAGAACATTTTTCTTACATATTCATGCTCTTCATGGTTTATAGACTGATCTCTCTTTCGGTGATCTCCAACACTGCGTTTTCATAGGTGTATATATAGAGATAGACTTGGGTAGTGCTAACCAATTAAATTTGTGATGAATGTAAAATTATGGATTCTGTCGTTATTTTTCTACACTTCGTGCAAAAATAAGAAAAACCTACAAAAACTAAATTAAAGATGGTATAGAATAAGCAGGGTCGAACCATACAAGATTTAAACTCGTGAATCAAAATTAAAACCAAAATTTAAGGAAAAATAACTTTTAAAACAATTTATTGATTTATTACTAATAAACTAAAAATAAAATAAATAAATAAGACGAAATAAATTCTGATCAAATAATAAGAAAAATCTCAAGGAAAGAATCCACCACCACAGCTTACTATAAATAAATTTGTTTATTTCTCTATATGTAAATTTTCTTATTATAAGCAAATCACTCCACCAATCCAATTACAATTTGGGAAGATGAAGGAAAGTAATAGTGTGAAATAATAATTGCTTGAGAACATATTTTACTTAATCTGATATATCTTTGGTAAATAGAAATAGGTATTCTCCGTATTATCATTAATTGGCAAACACGAAGAATCGTCTTTCTAATTTTTTTTATCAAAATAAGAACACAGAATAGAAGAGTAAAATAATACTCTAAAGAGAAAATTTCATAAAAGAATTAAACTAAATTTATTTATATTTCAACCATGGTGGCTTCATCACTCCCTTGAGAAGGGGTGTTTAAGCTAGCATAATAAGAAAACAAAATAAAGAAATAAAAATTATAAGAAATAAATTGAAGACAAAAATTCTCTTTAACTTTTATGATTTTATCTCACTAACAATGCACATCCAACCCCTCTACATATGTTCCTATTTATAAAGTTTAGAATGAAACGATCAGGAAGAGAAAATTCTAATTATAGAAGTAAAAATAAAAATAAAATAAAATCTTCCTAAAATCTTACTGCTTTTCAATTTGGCTTGATCTTTGACTTGACGTGTTTTTCAATTTGTCTTGATATATTTTCCAACTTGCCTTGATCTTTGCTGATTTAATGGAAAAGGCAATTTCTTAATTGGACTTTGATTGATGGTATAATCCCACATTTTTGCTACTTTTGTTTCTTTTCTTTTTATTCCGAAATTAGCTCCTATAAAATATGAAAAACAGATATAAACATATTTATTTAATAAAAAATATTAATTAATCATTTATTATTAAGTATAAAATAACAAGTTTGGTGCACTTATTAATTTGGCAGGGAATTAATCACCCCAATTGAATTTAAAATCCATAGTACGAAAAATTATTTATTTATTTACATGGCTTTTTAGGGTAGAATGAAAAGTTGAGAATTAAAAGTTGAGAATTAAAAATTGTCGAGATCATTCTTTTTCGGTAGTAACAATTTTTTCGTTAACGGAGGGAAGGCACATGTTGTTAATATATAAATTTTGAGGGAAATTAATGTTATTTAATAAATAAAAGAGGAGATTGAGCGTATTTTGACAAATTTAGAAAAGTAGGTGTATTTATCCGAAAAATTTATATATCTATATTTGCGAGAGAAGTGGTCACACGGCATAGGTCACACTCAGCTAGGTAATTAAAGAAAAGAAAGTAAAAGGCAAATTACACGGAAGTCAAGGAAAGCTGTTTGGGTCAATTCAATGAGGCAGTCCCGCGCCGCGTTTCTTCAAAGGTCGTTGAGCTTGTGTCCACACCTATCGTTGGCGTGTGTGATGAGCTCTGGTGTGTGAAATTGTGAATCCCACCCAATCAATCAATCCCGGCAACGAACACGTGTCCCTCCTCCCATCTCACCTTTACACCATCAATCGCAGCAACTGCAGTGCTATAAAATGCAATTGAAGCGCAAGTTTGATCACTTTTGCAACTATCACAAAGTGCTAGAAAACGCAACCACCAACCCCAACAAAAAAACCCCTCTCATACAAATACCCATTTCAATTTTTACACCAAAAACCAAAGAAAAACATAAATAGATTTTAGGTATTTTTGCCAATTTGTGTTTGAATTTGTGGGAAATTAGATTTAAGATTATTGTGTATGTGAAGATGGGAGCTGAAACAGAGGTTGTTGTTGAAGTTCAACAGATCATTCCTGCTACCCAGTTGGTCTCCACGCCTTCTCATGTGGTCAGTTCTTTTTACTTTTCTTCTGATTACCCCCAATTTGAATGATTTTTAGTATTTGGGATGATTGATTATTGAAACCCATTTTTAAGTTGACAATTCTGAATATCAACCTTTTCTTTTTCTTTGATCCCAATAATTTCATAGAAATTTTTACCATTGTTAATTAAAATTGTTATCGTTATTCTAATACCTCTCTCTTATTGTTGCTTGGTTGGTTGTTTCCTAATAAAATCTTGCTTAGAAAAAAATAATAATAATAATAAATAAATCTAATTCTAGAGATGTCGGAGAACATGTTTAAAAGTATATTCGGGTTACCCATTTTGAGGAATCGCGACTAGCCTAGTATAGTGTGCAGAAGCCTATGTCCAATTGGAAATTCTAGCACACAATTTCAGTCAAATTTCATTCTTTAGGACCCAAATTTCATGTTTTAAAAGGGTTTTCGATTTTGTTATAAAATTGAGGTGGGAAAGTCATAATTGAATTTGGTCAGTTCTACCATAATCATTGTTTCAATTAGCTTTACTATTGTAATTAGACTTAATTTTTCATTATTGGCAATTTTCCTATATATAGGGAGTTTTTTTTTTTTTTTTTTTGGGGGGGGGGGGTTGGGGTTAAAAGGGTAAGATATATAGGGAGTTGCTGCTGTTGTTTTTGCTATAATTTTTTCATTATTGGGAAAAGGCTTGGTAGTCGTTGCATGGGGAGTAATTGTGTAAAAGACCTTATTTCAAATTCATTTAATTTTCTGTACTTTCTCTTCACCTAGCGGATTCTGGGATATTAATTAATCACAGGCTAACACCTTCCGCCTTCTTATTTGTTCTCAATTTATTGTTTTCTAATGAAATATTGACAATTTTCCTACATCTCCGACTCTGAGCATTATTTATTTTTATCCTCAATTTACTGGGTTTTTTTTATTTTTTTATTTTATGAAATAGAAACCTTTCTAACTTTGATTAGTTGGATGTGAAATATTCCTGAACAAATTATTTTCCTCATACCATCAGAACAAGGAACTGTCAGCTAGGAAAATGATTGTTTTTTACATGTGATTAATTGCGCATATCATAAGTGTGCAGATTCACTCTGAATTGTATTTAATCTTGGATGCTCTCTCCTTATGATTTTTTATATTAGTAATATACATAATCAGTTTTTAAATTATGAACCTTTACATTGAATTAAAATTCGGTTATCTTTCTCTTTCAGGATATAAAGTCTTCCAAACACATTTTTGATACAGCACTTGAATCTGCTGTTCTGCAATTTGTTCCTAGCATTCGTTCTGGTAGTTTTGCAGATATTGGGCCCCGAAGATACATGGAAGATGAGCACATAAGGATAGATGATTTATCCATTCACTTGGGCTCACTCTTCAAGTTTCCCAAGCCAAGTGCCTTCTATGGGGTAACTAATTTTTGGACCTGCAAATTTATATGGTATTATATCTGGTCCTTTTGGTTTTAACTGATTGATTGAGACTGAAAATTGTAGTTATTCGATGGTCATGGAGGACCTGAAGCGGCAGCTTATGTCAGGAAAAATGCAATCAGGTTCTTTTTCGAAGATGTCAACTTTCCAGAGACATCTGAAGTTGATGACACCTTTCTACAAGAGGTTGAGAACTCTGTCCGTAAAGCATTTGTCCAGGCTGACCTAGCTTTGGCTGATGACTGCAGTGTGAGCAGTTCTTCTGGGACAACAGCACTGACAGCTCTAATATTAGGAAGGTAAATAATTTATGCTTCAGAACCTTGCTTTCCCCATGTTTCTACATGTCTTTTTAGCTGGCATATCATTGGTCTTACATGGTCTACAAAACCAAGCCATGCCTTGTCATTAGTGGAGAATTGTGAAATACACACACACATATGTATATGTGTGTGTGTGTGTGTTTGTGTGCATATATAATATGTACCTTTCCCCTTGTACCGAGCAGCCCATCTGTTCAATTCAATGTTGATTCATCGAGGAATCATTTCGTTTTATTCTTTTAATTTCATGCTTGTTAAATTCTCCGTAATGCAGCATGTGGCCTGGTTTATGCGCAAATAGTTGTTGATTTCCTAAATAAAGGGGGTATGCTCAATAGGAGGTTGGTTTAAGTTTCAGAAAGCTATATCTGAATTTTTTAGAACCTATTTATGTGTGCTTAAAACAGCAAATGTGATTTGACGAGAGATTTCCTAGTTTTTTTTTTTTTTAAATGGATGGATCTGCATAATTTTAAAGCATTATTTGGACTATTCCAGCGTGGTTGATCCTTTTTTTTTTAAACTGTCAGGCTTCTAATGGTGGCCAACGCAGGAGATTGCCGAGCAGTTCTATGTAGGAAAGGAGAGGCAATTGATATGTCTCAAGACCACCGACCAAGTTACGCATCAGAAAGGAAGCGTGTTGAAGAATTGGGTGGTTATATTGATGATGGTTATCTCAATGGTGTTCTATCAGTAACTCGAGCCTTGGGGGACTGGGACATGAAGTTTCCTCGAGGCTCTGCCTCACCTCTCATTGCGGAGCCAGAATTTCGGCAGATGGTTCTCAATGTGGACGATGAGTTCCTCATTATTGGGTGTGATGGGATTTGGGATGTGATGTCAAGCCAGCATGCAGTGAGTGTTGTACGTCGTGGGCTGCGGCGGCATGATGACCCGGAGCAATGTGCTCGGGACCTTGCCATGGAAGCGTTGCGTCTCAACACATTTGACAATCTCTCTGTGATTGTTGTTTGTTTCTCTTCCCTTGATCAGGGGGAGCTATCACCACCGCGACAAAGGAGACACAGGTGTTGCAGCCTCTCACCAGAGGCCCTATGCAGCTTGAAGAGCTTGTTGGATGATAGTGACAGACATTGAATGTATACATGCATTATTTATGCAGCTTGAAGAGCTTGTTGGATGATATTGAGAGACATTGAATGTATACATGCATTATTTTTTGAACCACAAAAAGCTCTTGTTTGAGGCTACTTCAGTGGAACAGTAGGAAAAGCAGCTAGCATTTTTGGTAGGATAATGCGACTTTTTGGTTGATGTACATAATAATATGTAGGTACAGGATTAAAGATATATAAATAGTGTGTTCAAGTTAGATTGATTGTTTTGGCCAATAGTCAATGTTGATGGCTGTGGCACTCCACACACTTGACGTGGTTCATATTTATTCTGTGTATATTAATTTTCCTATCAAATGGCATTTGACTTTTTTTTTTTTTGAAGAATGTGTTGACTTCTTTGACTTTTTATATTCCAGCTTGTTCCTTTATCTTATTGTTATATTTGGAATTATCGAAACGGGGCTTAAATTTTAAATGGTAAGAAACTTAGGTACAATTTTGAATTAATTTTTTCTCAGTCTCAATAAGTGTTCTGCTTAGATAATTAAGAAACTGCTTGTTCTTTGTTCTTGATGATGATCGAGTACGTTATTTTGAGCTAGTAAGAGGGGAGCCTCTTATTGGAATGCAATTCAGACCTCTTCTAATTCTGCTACGTACCGTGAAATACACGCTATCAGTTAAGCATATCATGCAACATACAGTTTATTTCCACATAGAAAATGGTGACAGATTCAGTATATACCATGGCCTCCGGCTAATGAAGCTACAGCAGTTTCTGGCTAGTTTGGCCACTGGCTACTTCATCGGTCACAAGCAAGGGAAATTGGGGGTCGCAGATAGTATCTATCCGTCTGTAAGAGAGAAGTGAAGTGCCCAAATGCTTGTAACTTTGAGAAAACAGCCCTACGTACTAATTGCACCCCGAAGAAAAAAGCTAGCTTCAAAAGGGAAGCTAGGGTGTGGCAAGAGAGCGACCAGAGACGGCCAAACGTAGAGGAAGCAAGAGCATATTGACAAATCAGAGGTTTCTCGATCAACAACTAGTTCCCTGTTAGGCTTCTTCATGATCCTCGGGTGAGAACCTATCAGGAAAAATCTCAGTATTATAGCAATGCTGTTGCAGAAAAATGTTGGTGAGATCGTCTCAACTTGCGGATCTTCTTTGGATCTAGCTTCGTGAACCACCTGAGTGCAGGGCTGGCTAGCTATTGAGGCTTCGTTGGAATAGTTGCATGCGGAACTTATCCCCCTTTGTAACACCCAAGTCCTTCAGAAAAAAAGAGCTATTTCACTTCTATGTGGAATGATTCTAAGATCCCGTGGTAATGAAATTGGCCTTGCACCAGAATTTGACACACCAGAAGCTCCTGGGGAATTATATCAATCCAACCTAGCAGCAACTCCACTTTAAATGGATCCGGTCACTTTTGCTTTTTCTTTTTGGGTATAATCGCCGATGACAGGTTACACCTTCGATGGATGTGATGATACCGTGTGAGTTTATGCAGCGAATTATATTTATGGAAAGTTTAAATTTTTTAAGGAAAATATTTAAATATGTATCTTTAATCAGCTTTATCTAATTTATCAACTAAAATTAAACCCACAAACCAAAAAATAAAGAACAAGTAAAACAAATAGAGTTTAAAATCTCGTAAAATGTGCAGTCCAGAGTAAAACGATCCACTATATTTGAAACAATATACAATGGACTTTGAGACTCAAAGTCCTAATGTGGAAGTTGTTGTTGTCTCGATCGAACTCAGCACTTCTCGATCGATCGACACCTTCACAACTTCAGTTGACAGACTACGCTAATGACATCGATTAAACTTAAGCATATCTCGATCGATCAAAGGCTCAAATAGTTAGATCGATAGAAACATTATAAGTATAAAACTTAATTTCTATATTGAGTTTACTTGATCATTTTTAAATACTTTAATATTTTAAGTCGATCAAGTTTAAAATGTTTTCAAAAGAAAAGATACGTATATACTTTACATGATATATTCTTCAAGAGTTATTTTTTCTTATATAAATATAATTTTATTTTATATTTTAACTGGTATCTAATTAATGACTTGAAAAACCAAGTTTACTTGGAGACCACATCATTTTGATTGGGGAACAAGTATTGTTCTCCATATATACTAAGTCTCAAATTTAGATTTGGTGTGCCATGTGCCCAAACAGCCCCAAAGTGATTTCTACCAAGAAAAAATATTTTTTCTTTGTTTATTATCCACGAGTGTTCTGTGTGAGAGTTTTAATTACTTGTGTATGTCCATAAGAGAGTCTGTGTGAGAGATATTTATTATGTTAATTGAGGGCACTACACTTGATATATATTATGTGTGAGAGCTTTACTTGTGTGTATCCATAAGAGAGTCTCTGTGAGAGATATTTATTATGTTAATTGAGGCCACTACACTTGATATATATACATACACCATATATCTTGTGATATTTTGTTTTTGCATCAGTCAGTCATACGTATCATACACTCTTTATTAGATATGGTAATGATGATGTATTCATTATATTGATAAATATTGCTGTGGTATGAGCTAACCTTTCAACATCTACACAAGGCCAAGAAGTGCTAATTCACAAAGCCAAATCAAACCAAAAATAGTGGTGGACAGATTGGTTGATTGAAAGAGTCTGAGGTGACGAAGTTGTGCATGATTGGATTGATGTGGAAAACAGGTGGGAGTAATCAACGGTAGGGTGAACGAGCATTGAATGTTTGGTATCTTACTTAGTCTGGAGGTTAGCTAGTGTTCATTGTGAGTGACCCTGACTAGTTGTAAGGTTTTTTTTATCTACCATTGTGATAGCTAGGTTTTTTCTCGTAAATCTGGTATGCAAGTCTCTATCCTTATTTACTTTACTGCACTTACTAATTGGTTACTTATTGCTATATTGATGATGTATGCTTGATTGTTTATCATGATTAAATCTTTACATATTTATACTTAAAGGATAAAAGCAAATAAACTAAATTTAGCATATCACTAATTGATTACTTGGCTAAATATAAATCAACTAAGGGTTGGGTGAATAGTTTATTTATTTGTTCAATTAAATTAGATTTATTTATTTGTTTAAATAAATAGTTTATTTATTTCTGACTAATTTGTTTAAAAGTCTAATCACTTAACAAGTAATTGAATACAAAAGTTGTTTAAGTTCACCATCTTATACTTGAATTAATATATCACTCATATATTATCTTTCGCATTCAAAAGATAAAGTGTACGTGAATTTAAAAGCTAAGTCAACCTTAATTAAAAAGTGGAACCGACCTATTCACCTGCTCTAGGGCATACCTTAAGATCCTGTTTGTTGTGTTCTTGATTGTGAGTAGTTACAGTCTAAGTTGAGACCTCTTCAGTTAGACTTACTCCTGATTATGCGCAAATCATCACATAGCTCTAAGGTTTTTTAACTCCTCACTGGGGGTTTTCCTTGTAAAAAATATCAAGGGTCAAGTGTGGTTTGTAGTGTGGCGTTTCATCAAACAACTATCTGGATTTAGGGTTTATATGTGCTGAAGTTCTGTAGTATGATTAGAGCACACCAAATTGATTCATTGGATCTGTTCTTAACTGCATGCACTAGAAGAAAATTGCACAAACCAGTTCACCTCCTCCCCCTATTGGTTTATCCGGATTAATAATTTTCTCAATGTCAAAAGGATAAACCACCAAACTTACCATTATTAGGTTAGGGTCATTGTCCATAGTAAGGAGATCTCATAAGAGGTGGTACTCATAAAATTATAATGTGATTGATGAAGCAAAATATGTTTAACTTGTTGAACGGTAGGATAATCATAAAATGGAAGCATTGAAACAAAAAATTAATGAAGGGGCAAAGTAATTAATACTCCCTCCTTTCCTTAGTAGTCCAACTTTTCTATTTTTAATTATCCCACAATAGTTGTTCCATTTAAAAACGCAATGCATTATATTATAACATTCCTATTTTATCTCCAAAAAATAAAACAAATTAAATTGTCCAAGTGAGTGGATCCCATCAAAAATTAACTTTTATAGCACAAATCACCAGCTCAAAACAAAACTTTTAAATGGGTTAAATTTGGAAATCTATCCACGGCCAATGTAATAAACTGTAATAAAAGCTAATCTCTTAAAAAGTGAGAATTTCAAAACTGAACATCTGTATTATGACAGAGGTAGTAATAAAATCAACTTTGCAATATAACTGTTGACTGTTTTATGTTATGACAGAGGAAGGTGAACTAATGGGTTCCCATCAACTGCGATTTTCTTAGATTTTATATTTCCAATCTAGGTGATTTTTTTTTTTAAAAAACTGGTTTTGTGGCTTTTATTATCAGCAGCCACAATTTTGTTAGATTTTATTCATTAATGAAGTAGTAGTGATCTCTTGCTCCTGAATTATTACCAATAAAGTATTTTGGTTCTGTTAGATCTTAAGGCTTTAATTAAAGGAGCAATTAAACACCACTAATATATATATATATATATAGTAATGACCTCTTACTTATCGTGAAATAAGAAAATTATTCGTCACTTTGTATACTAACCATTAGATTTAATACTTTACACTTGATTGTTTATTTTTTTGTTTTTATATATTTTTTACCTTGGGCAGGTAAATGAATTGAAATGTTGTACCGACTCAAAGAGAATCAATTCCTTAATAAGATATTCAAAGTGCATGCATGCAGTCAATGAGGAGGAGGACTCAGATTGGTATGTGCCCAATAAAGCGTCTTCTTCTTGTTATTATTATTTTGTATGCATTAAAGCGTCCATACATATGCAGCAATAACACATTATGCTGCAATATTCAGAGATACAAAACAGAACAAGATCATGCATGATCAGCCCCATGCGCGTACCCACCAACATAATAAGTAGATGTACGTTAATTATACTTCATAATTGGTTGGATCTTTCTGGGAAGTTCTTTCTTGTCCTGAGTTGGATTTTTTAAGTAGGCCTTTGATCTTGAGAGATGATTGCTCGATGGTTTCCAAATTTTTCCTGATCACTTCATATTTTGACATGTGGAGACCCGATTTAATATAGCACTGCTTACACTTGTTAACATTAGTGATGGCACTGCTCACAGACTGGTACAACTTTTTCTTCTCATAGTCATCCTTACCTATCTTATAAGCTTTTGCTGTTTCGCTGAACTCCTTCTTGCAGTCCCTAACGCACTCCCCTTCGGCCTCTGACATATCAGGCTGTCCGAGACGCTTGCCACAGACTGACACAGCAGCCTCCGCACTTGATATTCCCTTGTTTAATAATTCCTGGAATTGAACATCGTTAAGGGGTGCCGACTTGGATGAAGCAGCCTCGCCTGGGAAGGACAAG